AGAGAGAGAGAGAGAGAGAGAGAGAGATATTTAGATATAGAGATGAAATATAGATCTAGATATCACACACACATAATCTCTTTGCTGTCAAGTCAAAACCAGTTCATAGCTGACCATGCATTTTATTACATAAATCATGTAAGAGAAGACTGCTCATCTTTCTCCTAAGGAATAGTTGGTGGATTTGGATTTGAACCTTCTCTGGTGGCCTAGTGGCTAGGAATTGTGTTGTCAACCCAAAGGCATGTGATTCCAATCTGCCAGCTGCTCTGCAAGAGAAAAATGAGCCATCAGCAGCTCTCGTGCTTTTACCACCTCTGAAAACCTTCTGCAGGATCAGCTATTAGTAGGTCCCAACTCAATGGCACACAACCACCACCTCTGGTTTGGCAGTACAGTACCCTACCCACTAGGTCACTAGAGGCGTGTGTGTGTGTGTATGCACAACAAAGCACACAGAAGACACAATTATGGCTATTTATTATTGTTATGAAGTGCCTTATGTCAGGTGCAACAGAAAAAGAGAAACTCTGTCAGATCTCTGCTGTGTTTAAGTCCACTGTGATTGACATCATGGTGTCAATCCATGCAACTGACAGTCTTCCTTTCCTCTGCTGACCCTCTGCTTTTCTAAATTTGATGTCTTTTTCTAAGGACTGTCCTGTTCTACTAACACAACCAAAGTACGTGAGACCAAACCTCACCATCCTCACTCCTATGGAGCTCTCTGGCAGCACATCTTCTAAGAAAGGCTGGTTTGTTCTTGTGGCAGTCCACAGCATAGTCAATATTCTTCACCAACACCAACAATTCAAAGGCATCAATTCCTCTACAATCTTCTCCTTTATTGCCCAACTTTCAAATGCATATGAAGCAATTTCAAAATCATGACTTAGGTGATGGCTGTTATGTACCACCTCATAGACAACCCTCCAGTGGGTTTTCAAAGACTGTAAATCACACAGCAGGGGACTGACTGCCCATCTTTCTCCTGTGGAGCAACTACGGGATTCAAATCTTGTGCCTTGGTGTTGGCAGTGCAACTCCTTACAACTAGACCACTTAATCTTTAAAGCTATATTCTTGTTCTCTAGCATTTTAAAGAGGGTCTTGACTCCTGCTTTGCCCAAATGCAAAAAAAAAAGCGCAAAAATAATTTTATTTCTTCACTATGACTTTCATGAGTGTTGATTATGGATCCAAGTAAAATGAAATCAGACATAACTAAATACCTTAACCGACTGCATTTCTGGCTTTCAAAGATTTGAATTACAATTTCAAGGGATATTTGAGACAATTGACCTCATAGCATTTCCAAGACTATAGTCTTTACTAAAGAAGACTTCTTTACCTTTCCACCACAGAGCATGTGGGGGATTCAAACCACTAACTTTTTCATTAACAGTTGGTGCTTTATCCACTGTGTCACTGGGGTGAATTTTATCTTATAAAGTTACTTTCTAATTTATATGCCAAAAATCAAAGAAATATCTTTAAATAAAGAAGCCAACAGAAAAGGAAGTGAGGCGTCATCTGGTTTGGAAACAGGCTGACACTGCTGACCCTGACCCCAGCGGGGAGAGAATTCACAACCCAGTTTGCGTGGTACAGACTGCCTGCAGGACAGGAGACCCTACCCTGGGCTCTGTGTCCTTCCAGCAAATGGCTGCATCCATGATCACAACACTCACTTGGGACCCCTCCCCTCAGTACCCCAAAGCAAAAGAGGGGCAGGGAACAGGGCAGCTTGGTTCTGGAGGCTAAGGACATCTGGAAGGGAGGTTAGCCAAGGCAGAGAAAACATTAACTACTCTGACATCATCAAGAGCTAAGTCTATAAGCAGAGCACAAGGGAGGAGGAATGGCCCTGCTCTGGAGGCACTCTAACGTGCCTGCTCCCTCTCCTCTGCCATCAACCTCCCTGTCTCCCCCTCTGCCTTCATGTCCTCAGGGAAGGTGAGGTGGGCAACCCCAGGAAGAACAGAACTATCACAGTCTATTTATGGGGCATGGATCTTCACCTATTCTCTGTGCTTATTTGTATTTTCTCACTTCTTCTATAGCCTTCCTGAGATTATTTAGTGATTTTTAAGTAAGGAGATCTCATTTGGTAGCCTCTAACTCTGTGGGCCTAGTGGTAAGAATAGGACAGGGTTCAGATCCACTATCACTATGAGTCGCAGTCCACTGTGTAACAACAAACACCTAGGAGAGAACCCCAGGAGCTCCCAGTAAGGAGTTCTGCTGCCAGCTCAGAGGAGGCTTGAATCTACCAGGAGAAAGATGGACAGTCTCCTCCCATGCAACCTGCAGCCAAAAAACCCCCTGGAGAGTCAGCTATGATTAAGTTCCCATTGCCTGGCAATGAGAAAGAAACCCCAGGGGGTAGCATAGTAATTGGGCTTTAAATATTTTTTTATTTTATATTGGTTTATTTAAAGTTTATAAACACTGTGTTGCACACGATTCTTCACTCACATTGTGTCATACAATCATCCCCATGCACTATATTTTATAAAATTAATCACCATTGGACTATGCCCATCATTACCTTGTCCTTTCAGGTCCCTGCCAGAACTTTCCCATTTCCTTTACCCCCCTCCATCCATCCATCCATCCATCCATCCATCCATCCACCAAATTGTGCAAGCTTGTGATTTGCCCATACTCATCCTCACCCCTCTGGTCCCTTCCCTTCCCCACCTGGATCCCCATATATGTTTTACTAGTTATCCTATTTTTACAATAATGGTCTTGTGAAATATTTGTCCTTATGAAACTGACTTAGTTCATTCAGCATAATGCTCTCCAGTCTCTCCCAAGTTATGCAGTAATTTTTGAAGTCATTGCTCCTGAGTGCAATTTCTCAATCCATTCTTTAGTTGATGGACATCTGGGCTGTTTCCATGTTCTTGCAATGGTGAATAACACTGCTATGAACATTGGTGTACAAATCTCCATTTGTGTCTCAGTTTTAATTTCCTTGGGGTATATTCCTAGGAGTGGAATACCTGAGTCATACAGAGCTCCTATGCTCAGCTTTCCCCCCCACAACTCCCCCACGAGTTTATTTACAAAATTCAAATACATTTTTTTCAAGAACAAATTATTTCACTTTCCCTCACCTCCCCCCTCAAATTGTATAACCCCATGATTAGTCCCCCCACCCCCTACACATCCTCATCCCTCTGCTTCCAAACAAGAGGGGTATATTCAGCTTTTTGAGGAAATGGTAATTGGGTTTTTACTGCAGTTTACAAATGAATGAGGTTCTCAGATGGTGGGGTTAAGAGGCTCAGGAGCACAAGGATCAAATAAACTCCTCTTTAAGAAAGGCAGAAACATGAGGTGTTTATATGCTACCTTTCACTAACATAATTCTCGGCAAGTATGTTTTATCCATGTAGCTGCAAACTGACTTGAAGGTTTCAGGATTGTAATTGTTATGTGCCATCGAGTCACCTGTGACTCATAGGGAGCCTACTATAATAGCTCTGAACCCTTTCCTATCCTAAGGCAATCTCATTGTCTTCACCACACCTACCCTCATTACCCCATTACTGTATCAATCCATCTCCTCCTGGGTCTTCTCTTGTGCTGTCCCTCCACCCTTTCAATTGTGATGTCTTTTTCCAAGGACTGGACCCTCCTGACGATTGGCCCAAAATATGTAAGACAGAGCTTCAAAATGCCTGTCTCCAAGAAACAGTTTGGTTTCACCCTCTCCAGGATGGGTCTGTTTGTTCTCTTGGCAGTCCTTGGTATATGCTCAATACTCTTCTCCAGCACCACAACTCAAAGGTATCAGTTCTTTTCCTGCCATCTTTAATCATTGTCCAACTCCCTAACGCATAGCAAGTAATTGCAAAGACCATGGTCGGATCAGGCACATCTTAGTCTCTAGACTAACACTGTTGCTCTTTAGCACTCTGGAGAGGTTCTTGAAAGCAGATTTTTCTAATGTAACTCCGGGTCATTGTTGTTGTGACTGTCATTGAGTCAAACATGACTCATAGTGACCCTATGAACAAAATACTTGCAGCCTTCCTATAACTACTGTCGTTTCTCAAATTTCATAGAGTTTACAGATGCATGTTGTTTAGGAAGTGGATGCCACTCCTGCTTCCAAATCTGTCTTAATCTCAGAGCTCCACCAAACACTGTCTACCACAGATAACCATTATGGCATATGACATCCCAATGGCAGAAGGTTTAGCACCACAGTTATCTGTGTACAGCATATTGACAGAAGAGTGCTGTACTTAGAAGAACGTTCCTTCAAAATATTAACAACCGACTTTTAAATACAATGGTCCTCCACAAGGTCTTATTGACTCTAAACAAGAGGCTTAGATAAAAAAACAACCAATATAGCATGTTGTTCTTGTTGTTATGTGCCAATAGGTATTCATAATCTAGAGTCCCTGGTGGTGCAAATAAAAGTTAAGAGCTCAGCTGATAACTAAGAGGCCTGTGGTGTAAGTCTACCTGGAGGTACTGCAGAAGAAAAACCTGGCCATCTACTGCCAAAAAAATCAGTCCTTGAAGAACCTCATGCAGCACAGTTCTGCGCTGAAGCACATGGAGGTGTCAAGTGTGAGCTGAGCTGATAGCAACTATTTCATTTAACTCATAGACTAAAATAGGGACTTTCCCATAGTAGAATAGGATTCCAAAGTCATGTATGTATTTAAGACACAACCTAAATGTTGAACTTGCTTCATAAAGCTCCTTGTTCCTCTGTGTCCAGAAGGCAGCTACAGCTCTCTCCCTTTGTTACCTGGCCTGGCACCTCAGGGCCTTATCCATAAACGGAGCCACGATCTCCCTCTCCAGGAGTGGCTATTGTGGTGATTATAAGGGTTAATGGCAGTAACAGAGCCTGACCCACACTGGTGTCCCTTATACATTGGGGGTACTCACCATGGACCACTGACAGGCACACAAGGACAATGACGTCAGGCGGAAAGGGGCAGATGAATGTGGTTCAAGCCTCTTACCTGCTCCTCTGCAGGACTCAAGCCAGGAGTTCTGACTGGGGCATGGGGCACCCCACTCCAACGTCCCCGGTTCTCTGGGAGGGGATGCAAGGGCAGGCCAGAGCACAGTGTCTGGAGACTGGACATGTCTGGATCTAAAGGAGCAGATGCTAGTACTGGGAAAAGGCCAGAGAGAGCCAGCAGCCAGGCCCTGGATGAGCGGAGGGGACCTTGACCCAAAGCCACCTCCCCCACCCCTCATTGGGTCCAGGACCCGTGGAAGGAATCATTCAAAGTTCACAATGTCCCTGGCCCCCAGGCTGGCCACCTGCAGTGTTGACTTGGGGGAGGGCTGGGCTCTGAGCAGTGGACAAGTCCATGCACTGAACGGGGCGGGAACAGGGCTGGAACTGTGGAGGCTGGGCCCTTGGTTCTTTATCCTTTAAGTGGGGGTTAGTCCCCAGAGGTTTGGCTTTCTCAGCTTTGAGAAGCTAGGAGGCTCTGACTGATGTTGGGGATTGCTCTGGCAGCCCTTAAGGGAAATTATCCCAGAGGTGGGTATCGGGATTCACAGGGTCATGTCTTGACTGTGGGGCTGCATGATGATTTTGGGGGTGACATAGGTGGGGAAGGGAACAGAGTGCTGGGTCTGTGGGGAAGCAGGCCTTTAGAGAGTCCCCACTACTCTATGTGAGGGACACTGAGGAAGAAGCGGGCAGGGGCCACCCAGCTATGGTGTGTCTCTCCTCCTCAGAGGCCCATGGCCCTCCTCCCCGATCCCATTAACAAGCTCTGTGAAACAGTTCTCTATCAGCTCTGTACCTTGAATAGGGAAAGAGGTCTAGGTCACCCTCAAACAGCCTGGAAGTGGCCCATTCAATCAAGTGGTGTGATTATCAGAGGCACTCACACTTCACCTTTTCCCATCTTTGTCCAAAGAGAGGGTTTTACCTTCCTCAGAGGCAACAAATCCAGGAGTGAGGCCAACCCAGTTCTTAAGCAGCTTCAGCCTGGGTCTGGCCCAGCCCAAAAAGATAGGGTGCCAGTCATGTCAGTCAACTGTTTGCCCTGCTGAGGGCAGAAATAAGTATGTGAGCACCCAGCCCAGGAACTTGCTGAGTAAGTCATATAGGGGAATGGGGGGGGGGGTGTCAATGCCACACAGAAGAGGAAACTTAGATGAGAGAGGTGAGGGGATGTACCTGAGGTCATGTATTGGTCATGGGTGGAGATAGTATTGGAACCTCTAAAGCCTGAAGTCTAGCTCCAGACACCCTCTCAGCCATGCTTGCTCTTCTGCTGGCCCACTGAGGCACCTTTATCGAGGCCTTGGAGCAACTCTGTCCACAGGGATTCAGTGGTGCCCTCTGGCACTTATCCACTTTTGAAGCAGGACTTCCTGAGTGCCTTCGTGTGCCAGGCCCCTGTTGCAGGCCCTGAAGCACCAAGCACACAAGACAGAGATGTCTGAGCAGACGCTCTGCCCAAGGCTTTTCCTAGTGACTCAGCCTATATCCTGCCTGCTCCGAGAGAGGACTGGAAGGACCAGAGAGTGAACAGCCCACTCTTCACTGGTCCAGAAGCAGCCATCATCCAATAATGGCCCCTTGGACCCAGTCTTAGACCCACCAGTTGCTTCTCAGGAGAAAGATGGGGAGTCTTCTGTAAAGATCTATAGTTTCAGAAACCCCATGGAGGGTTGCTGTGAGTCAGCATTGACTCAAAAGCAATAAAGTCCGTTTTGACCCAGTGAGGAGGTGCACTGGGCAAACGGGATAATTACAAAGCATTAATGCAGAGTCACTGTACCAAAATGAATTGGCTGGCATGGAAAAATTTCAGGAAGTACCATATAAACAAGAGTCAATGTGTGGTGTTAGGACTTTTGAAAATGGCTTTTCTAGCCACTGCCTTAAGCCCACTCTGAAGACATGGCCTCCAGCTTCCTCAACTGCAGACACATAGTTCAGCATTGAAAGGCATCTTCTACATCATCAACGTATGTGGGGCCAACATAAGAGACAGAACAGGCAGGTTATAAAATCAATATTCAAAAGTCAGAGGGATTCCTCTACAGTAACAAAGAGGACTCAGAAAAGGAATCCAAGAAAGCAATGCCATTTACAATAGCCAACCACAAATTGAGATACTTGGGAGTGAACCTAACTAGAGACACAAAATTCCTGTACAAAGAAAACTAGAGAATATTTCTGAAAGACACAATCAATATTGTGAAAATGACAATCCTGCCAAAAGCTATCTACATGTTCATGTAACCCCAATCCTGATACCAAATTCATTTTTCAAGGAGATTGAAAGGGAGATTGTCAAGTTTATTTGGAGATAAAAAGGACCCCCATAAAGTAAATCACTTCTGAAAAACAAAAATGAAGTGGGAGGCACAGCATTATCTGACCTCAAAACCTACCATACAGTGCTGTTAACCAAAACAGCATGGAGACCAACAGAACAGAACTGAGAACCCAGAAATGGACTCATTTCTCTATAGTTAACTGATATTTAACAAAGGAATAAACCCTGTCAAATGGGGAAATGATAACCTTTTCAACAAATGGTGCTGGCAAAAGTGGACTGCTACCTTCAGAATGCTGAAAACAGGATCCACATCTCACACAATAAACAGAAATCAACTCAAGGTGGATCAGAGACCAGGGACTAAAGCCTAAAACCATAAAGTCCATCAGAGACAAACTGGGATAAAGCTTAGATGGCCTGTTGTTGCTGTTATGTGCTGTCCAGTTGCCTGTGACTCATAGTGACCCTGTGTACAACAGCCCTAAATCCTGCTCTATCCTGTGCCAATCTCATTGTCTCTGACACACCTATCCCCATTACCCCAGTCACTGAATCAATCCATCTCATCGAGGGTCTCCCTCTCTTGCACTGTTCCTCCTTCCGATCATGAAATCCTTCTCCAAGGACTGATCTCGCCTTGCACCAAGGTCCAAACTATGTCAGATGAGGCTTCAGAATCCTTGCCTCCAAGGAGCATATTGGTTTAAACCTCTCCAAGACAAACTTGTTTGTTCTCTTAGCAGTCCATGGTATATTCAATACTCTTCTCCAGTACCACAGCTCATAAACAGACTGCCAAATACAGCCAGAAATGCTCTATGTGGAGAGGATAAAATTGATGAATGGGACTTTCTAATGATTAAATCCTTGTGTGCATCAAAAACTTTTCCCAATAGAATGAAAGAAAAACCTATTGATTGGGGAAAAATCATTTGGCAATACCATTTCAGACAAGGGTCTTATATCAAAAGTTTACAGAATCCTAGAGGGCCTCTACAAGGAAAAGACTGATAACATAACTACAAAGTGGGAAAAAGACATGGAAAGAGTTTTCAGAGAGGAGGACATTCGGATGGCCAACAGACACATGAAAAAATGCTCCAAATCACTGGCAATAAGAGAGATGCAAATCAAAACCACAATGGGATACCATCTCACTGCAGTAGCAGTGGCAAAGTTTAACAGGACAACAAGTAATAAATGTTAGAGAGGATGTGGAGAGACAGGAACTCTTACACATTGTTGGTGAGATTGTAAATTGGTACAACCATTCTGGAAGGCAGTTTGGAATTTCCTCAAAAAGCTGAACATAGAAATTCCATATGACTCAGCTATTTTACTGCCTGGAATATAATCCGAGAGAATGAGAACAGAGGCACAAATGGAGACTACACCAATGTTCATAGCAGTGTTATTCACCATCGCAAGAACATGGAAACAGCCCAAATGTCCAACCACAATTAAATGGATTGAGAAATTATGGTACATTCACATGATAGAATACTATGCAGCATGCAGGAGCCATGATTTTGTAAATTACTCCCGTACTTAGGAAGAACTGGAGAACATTATGTTATGTGAACTACCTCAGTCCCACAAGGACAAATATTGTATAAAGCTATTTTTTGTAGAATGAATATGAGGATCCAAGGGAGGGTGCGAGCAGAGAGGTGAGGATGGGCAGGTGCAGAGGTGGCTAATCACAGGGTCATAGAATTTGATGAGTGCAGGGAGAGGTAGGTGAAACAAATGGGAAGGATCCAGTGTGAAAAAGAAAGTATACAAACTTTGTAAAGAGGAAGGGAGGGGGGAAACGTGCAACAATGAGTGAATGAAAATCCAACTTTTCTGTAAACTTGTGTTAAAATCACAATTAAAATTTAAAAAAATTAGAAAAATAAGAGAGAGAACTTGTCAGAAATGATGAGGATGACACAGGATAGGATAGGGTTCAGATGTGTTGTTCATAGGGTTGCTATGAGTCATGCTTGACTCAATGGCACCTAACAACAACAACTACCAGTCTACCAGGGCGCTCAGGTCGCCCAGTGGTAAGGAGGTGTGCTGCCAATCCCCAAAAGCACTCAGTTTTAATACATCAGCTTCTCTGAGGGAAAATGATGGACAATCTTCTCACGTGCAATTTGCAGCCTTTGTAAACCAAGGTGTAAGGTCACCTATGAGGCAGTTCTGACTAACTCTACTAGGGGGCTTTCATCACTGTAGGCTTTCCCCTCCTCACCTCACTTCCTCTCTCCCATGCCTTGATCTTTGATATGGTTCCTAAATAAACTCACTATACTTGACATTGTGTCTTGGAATTTCCCCATCTTCTACAGCTCAAGAGGAGTCAGACATCCAGAGTTTTTATGACAGCTTCTGATTTTTTTTAATGTTGTAAATTACTGTTGTTATTACTATCATCACCTTGGAGAGAAGAAAATTGTTGGATTTTGTCACTGCCAATATCCAGATGCTATTATTCTAGTATAGTTTTACAAGATGTTACCTCTAGGGAAAACTGGGTAAAAAGAACTTACGTTATTGTTGTGAGGTGCCATTGAGCTGAGATAATTCATACCAACACTATGAATAACCAATCTGAATACTGTCCTATCCCATGCCATCCTCACAACCTCTGATATATTCATGCCCAAGCCGCAGTCACATAATGGAGGCTCTTTGTTTCTTTCACCACCTTTCCACCAATCTGATGTTCCTCTCCAAGGAATAACTTCTCCTAACAACATGTCTAAAGTATGTGAGACAAACATTAATCATCTTTGACTCCAAGGAGCAGTCTGGCTGCACCATCTCCAAGAAATATCTATTTGTTCTTTGGCAATCCATGGGATCATGAGCACTCCTTTCCAAC